ATAAGTAAGCGGCCTCTCATTGTCGGACCGACGAAGGCTTTTCCTATGTACAGAAACAAAACTTATTGAAGTTCTAGATTTTCACAATGTGCTCAACTGTTGATCATGCATTCAACGACAAAAATTCTTTACACCGCGGTCCCAGACACACAGAATTAAAAAGCGGTACGCCCTCGTTCATTCAGTTGAAGAAGTCGCAGTTATGCCAACACATTCCATTCTTCATTATGCTACACACCAACAAAGATTTTGCGAAATCAGCCAAAAAAGTCCTGCATGCTTGTTCTACATATTGTAGACTGGTTTTTGTGACAACCTGGATGATTATTCACCAATCACTTACAATTAGTGTAATTTACGTTGTGTCACAATTCCCATATCTTGAGCCTTCCACTTTTCCCCTATCATGTTCATGATTTATCCTCCAAGTTTCATTTAAAAGCACGGTCCACGACGAAGTATAGAAGTTGAAAATATGGCGTCAGGAGGGTGGTGTGGTCCGCGCGAACAACCTTGTACCGGTTTCGCGGCAAAAAATTGTAAGGGAGGGGCGCTATAGCGCAATATAGGTTCAGTGACGCCTCCTTTTTCCAGTGACTCCGCCTCCAGACTCCGCCCTCAAGGCCCGCCTTTCAGTGAAAAACGAAGCTGCAGGACGAAAAGCATGAAAATCGTCATTTGTACAATCGCAGAGTTATCGGGGAGTCGTCTTTGCAGATAGGGGCGCAGTGCTGAAGCTGATTGAGCACGTATAGACTGGGATCGAAATGGGGTCTCATCTGGGGCAGTTGACATAATTTTCATTTTTTTCAATATCGAGTACTCAGCACCTTGTCGTCTATACGCAAACCCCTATCCACTATCTGTGATGGCGAATATCGCGGGCTTTGCCTTTACAAATAAACAAACGATGAATCTTCAAGAAGTTCTCATCCATTTTCAACACGTTTTGGAAATACTCGCTACACGTGTCTTCTTCCTACGAGAGACTGCCTTGCAGGAGAGGAGAGACGACGAGCGTACACGCTGCTCTCCTGGTGACGGTTACGCGACATCTTGAACTTTTGTGCATGGTATAATAATGTTCTCCCAGTGAGTTACCTCAAACTTGTGTAGTTAAACTTTATTCCCCAATAGTTTAATCGCGCGGTCCCGAGTTCGAATCCCGGGTCGACTCCCGCCCAGGCCAACCAAGCCTTCTACCCTCCGGGGACGGTAAATTGGTACCAGATTCGTCTGGGAGGATAAAACACTGACTTGTACATCGGCTGGCCACCGCAAGTCATTGTATAGGCCACATCGCATTCAATAAGCCACTACGATTCTGAATGGAAGTAGAATGCGTGCCGCATCCCACAAAGGGATTGATCAACGGCGAAGACTTTATCCTTTATCCTTTATCCGCAATAGTTTATCAAATAGGAGCGAGAAGGGAGAATGAGAAATGTGTGTAGAAGATGATCAAGAGGTTAAAAATGGAGAACAATGGTTGAAGCAGCGTGGAGGTGACTCCCTTTATAGCACGTCGTGGGTGGTCGATATGGCGGGCCAGGCGGGAACATCCCGATGGTGACCACTTTGAACTCTCCGATCAAATTTCTGGCTCTTCTGAAATCAAATTAAATTAGAGTTATCTCTATACTCCCGCCCATTCATTGCATTGACGACACTTGCATGGCGATACTTCGGGCATGTTTCTTACACAAGTTATATCGACCTCTCGTCTCTTGCAGCGACGAGGTTCTGGACCGCTGCTTCTCTTGCAGGCATGGATCACCTACTGGGGGTACTGCTACTTCTTCTTCTCCGTGCAACTCCAATGGCACTAAAAGATTTATGGGCCTCCGTAGTATGTTCCACCTCGGCATACGTACCTCTACCTCTCTGATGGCGCTGTCCGATTCCCCTTTCCACCTGGAAGATAGGCGAAAGAAATTCTGCCTATCTTCCAGGTGTTACGCGGGACATTGTCGTCTGCCAAGAGTACCACCACGTCATCTTCAGGTGTCATTGATCTCCCTCCTTTGCTGTTCGTGTATATTTTATGCGTATCTCTGAGATTCCTGGGATCCATATCGCTCAAAACCTACCTGTCAATTTGTGGGCGGCGGTAAGTTGGGAGCAGTGCAGTTTGCCTGCTGTCCAGTTTGGAGGCGGAGCGACCCCTCTGGGGGGGGGGGGATTCTCTTGCAGTGCCTCAAACGGATACGTAAGCTCAATATCCTTGGCGTGAAGTCGGTGGGCTGAAGTGGTGCAAGCTGCTCGTAATCGGTCCTTGATAGGTGAGAGGTCTGGTGTTCAGGATTCCCTCGATTTCGTGTTGAGGTCGTGAGTTCTTCTTCCGTCACGATCCGATTTCCAGCGACCTTGTGAAGGGAATATTTTATGGACTTTATCAGTCTTTCATAAAATGCTCCCTGCCACGGAGCATAGGGTGTTGTAAAGGTCCATTCAGCCCCTTCGCGCCAGGGTTTGAAACGGTAGTCGCTTATGATAGAAAGAACTTCGTCCTTCAAAACTTGCTCTCCAAGGAGAAAGGACGGTCCATTGTCTGATGTTATTGTTCGTGGATTCCTCGGCGGGAGAAAAATCTTTGAAGTGCTAAAAGGTTTTCCCGTTGACATATCCGTGATCACTTCCAGGTGTATTAGGCATGTAGTCGTGCAGTTTATGATGAGTCCATACACCTTCTGCTGGTCTTCTTTCGTATTCGTCATCAAAGGGCCGAAGTAATCAATTCCGACATTCTCTGGGTCTCATTGCTGGGTACTGAAATGGAAGCGAATTCATTTTTTGGCCCGGAACGCAGTTCTCTAGAAAGGATTGAACTTGGCGCCGAAGTTGTGGGATCCAGAACTTGCTGCGAACCGTGGCCATTGTGTGCGAAGTTCCTTGATGAAGCGGCATGTGGGCGTCTCTTAGGGCACCGAGCTAGAGGTGTCTTCGCGGCTATGAAGAAGGGGTGTTTGGTTAGCTCTGACATCTGCACCTTATCCAGTCTCCCTTGGCACCGTAGCAACACATGCTCAGCCGATTGGAGGTTGAGATTTTTCAATGAATTCCTCATTTGAAATGCGACGTGAATCTTCTGGTGGTTGCAGATCATGAGTTGTAAGGCTGCGCGTAGTTCCGCTTGCATTGATGAAGTGCGTCTCGTGTCTTATGTCCAGTTCTGGTAAGTTATCTTTGATTTTCGAAGCGAGCAGCTCACTGAGTCGGGCCCAGGCTTTCCGAATGTAATATAACTGTTACTTGCGCCGACAGTAATGTGTTGTATCTTCTCTAGTCTAGTAGCTGCTGTACTTCAGTCTTACTGTTAGGGCGAATTTGTGTATGACAGTTGTCCGAATGATGTCGTCGTTGAGCTCACCGGCTTCTTGGGAAGCGTGAACCACTGTTTTTTCTTTGGCCGTTTCCCTTCTCGAGCATTCAGGAACTGTGGGCCGGTCCACCACATGTGATTCTCCACGCGGTAAGACCATTTGTGGCGTTGGGCTCTTATTCGAGCTCACGTGTCCAAAACGTGTCTCTTCCCTGATGTTCTTCACGGTCGCGGATTTCCACTTATACGGTTCTTGAAGAAGCGGCCAACATCCCTCTTTATGTGGTAGGTAGAAAGCCAGCTGAGTCGATCTCTGAGTTAGTGAAGATAGTCGGTGAGGAAATTTTGAGCTGTTGAGCTAAAGCGTCGTACATCATGTGTGCCATTCTTGCGTGCATCTCCAGTTTTGGGATTGTCGTGAGTTGTTTCACATTTGCCAACTTAGATCTTGCAAAATCAAGGTGCGAATTCGTTCCTGTCACCAGGTACGCACATGCTGCTATTGTCTTGTACACTGGCATCGGCGAAGACGACGAGCTTTATTTCCGAGTGGAGTGGTGACATCTCTTCGCAGGAGACTACGTTTGAGCCATTTATTTGCTTGAGAATTTCTTTCCATTCAATTTCGTGATCGTGGGAAAGTTCTGTGTCCCAGTCGTATCCAGTCTTCCAAATTAGCTGAAGAAATAGTTTTCCTTTGAGCAGAAGTGGAATGACCCTTCCCATATGGGTCGTAAATGGATGCAATCTTTTCGGAAATTCTTCTCTTAGTAGAAACTCCTTTGTCCACAAATTTTCCCTCGATGACGACATGTCTGTTTTCGAGTTCCATACAATTCCGAGAACCTTTATAAACTCTTGCTTACTTCTATCCTGTTGTGGAATGTCGTGGTTGACTTGGTCGTTGTTGGTTAAGTAGCCTCGAATGTTCATGTTCATTTCTTTGAAGATTGCCTTGAATGAAATGTTTCCGTCGTGCTTCTTCTTCGCTGGAGGCTGTGAGTATCAAGTTATCGACGTAGATGTTGTTAAGCAGTTCCTTCGACAGCTCCTTGTGTTTCGTCTCTTTTTCCTAGATGATGTCTGATTGTTCCTGCAAGTAGGAATGGCGAGCAGTTCAAGCCAAATGTGACTCGTGTGAAGCGGTATTCGATTAGGTTTGGGTTCTTTTGTGACATCTTTCACCCACAAACATCTTGTAGCATCTCTGTCCTTTACGTTTAGGTGGACCTGTAAAAAGACTTTCTCCACATCCACTATCATGGCTATATGTCCGACTCTGAACCGAATGAACATGCTCCTCATAACGGGAGTATCACCTTTCCCTGATACAGCATGTCGTTGAGAGAGGGTTGTTCTTGAAGTGAGGGACGCATCAAAACGATCAAAGGTATATATATATATATATATATATATATATATATATATATATATATATATATATATATATATATATATATATATATATATATATATATATATATATATATATATATATATATATATATATATATATATATATATATATATATATACGGTGATAGGTCGATGGACAGACAAATTGATATCGTTTTCTGCAATGGTATTCTTGTCCTCCCTGCTGAACGCACATCGTTGAAGACATTTAGAGATGTGGTCAATACGGGCTACTCGGAATTTGTGGGATTTCCCGAGGGAGTCAAATTTTTGGATTGTAGTGAGCGTCACAAAGCGTTTCCCCTGGTGCGTGATTTCCGAATGTGTTGATGCTCATTCGGATCGAGTCTTCATTCTCTAGGCAAAGGCGTCTTGCAAGTTCGTTGCATACGGATGATCGATCCTGTATCAATGAGTATGTGGATCGTTTCAAGCGACTGTGTGGATTTGTTGAAGACCAGCGCCTCTCCTATGAGGACACAGTCCTTTCGCTTTGTTTTCAAACTGGTACTTTCCAAACATAATACGTCGAGATCGGATCTTTCTTCGTCGTCTTGTTTGGGTGAGGAGAATGTGTATTCTTCTTGTCTTAATGAGGAGGAAACTAAATTCTGCTGGTGGTCCTGCAAGTTATTGGTTTCGAAGGCTTTCCTGGAGTCTTCTCCCCCGTAACAGAGACTGGTCCCTTTTCCGTAGGTGTGGTTTGTCGATAAGTGGAGGTGTGATGCCCGAATTGGTCAGTATACTACAAGCACCCTTGTTACACTCATTCGCCCTGTGGTCTGGGGCTCCACAGTTCAGGCAAAGTGAATGGCGTCTCATATATTGCAGTCTTTGCTCATGAGTTGTGAATTCAGGGCAGCTCCTGGGAGAATGACCCTTCTTCTCGCAGAAAATGCATGCTTTTTCCTTTCGTATCGACTGCTAGGTCTCTTTGAATTATGTATTTTTGTTCGATGGAGCTGTATAGACACATTCGATGTGATGTTGATATTCCACTTCCGTATCAATGAAATCGCAGATGCTTGAATGTAGTGGTCTTGTGGTCCAACTTCCCTCATTGGATTGCTCATGCTTCTTTTGTAGAACGTATCACTGAATTCTTCCACTGAATTTCAACAGTATTCGCCTTTGAAAGAGGCACTGTCTGCTAATTCTCCTTTGAGCGTCATTTAGTTGATTATAAAAGGAATCTCTTTGAACAGGTTCCTCTGATCTTCAGTTTTCCTGCTGCTGGCCTGGCATCTTTCCATTTGTTCCACCAATTCGTTGAGAATCAGCTGTGTATTACCATATTTCTTTTCAGGTGAATCGATTGCCATTGTGTACGTAGAACTGCTGATTTGGAATTGTCTTAGCGAACGTCGTGCTTCACCTTGAAGAGAGTCCATCAGGTAGTTCATTTTGTGAATATCTTCAAGTCGTCTGCTGTGAACAGAGAAATCGAAGGCCTTCCAAAAGCTTTCCCATTCCCAAACTTTGCCGCTGAATTTTGGGATTGGTATGGGGGCAAGCTGTGTGGGTAGGACTCCTTCCTCGAGTGAGGTGCTGGATTCGGCGGACAGATCTTGGAGCATAGCTTCTATGTCTGCTGTGCAGTTGTGAGCACGGAACAGCGCCTCCTCTGCCGTTGTCGAGTTCGTGGAGACCTTCTCGAGTACTGCTGCCAGTTGAGGCGTGCCACTGTCGAGCTTGTCTGCTGCCTCCGTGTAGGCCTTGAGCGCATTGTCGACATTTGTGACTGCCAGTTTAGACTCTTCTCCAGCTTCTTGAGACGCAGCGTCTTCTGCCGGGTATAATTCTTATGTTCATCTTCTTCGTAGGGCGCTTGGATCTCGATTTCTTCGGCGAATCTGTCCAGAAGGCTAGTGAGCCTTCCCATTGAGCGGGTGAGCATTCCCTGTCTGGTGGAGAGCGACGTGGTCATTGTCCTTGGTCGGGTTCAGTCGAGAGTTGGCAATTTATTCTAGCAACGGCAGAATAATATAAATAGGAATTTCGAACGATTACTCGGTCTTTTCTTCGCTGGTTCGATTCCTTCAGAAATAACAGAAGTCCTTTAGAAATAATAGAGTAGAATAGAAATAATAGAATGTCGTCTACTGCATACAGTATGTCGATGTTGTGAATCTGCTAGCCAAGATTGTTAAATACTTTTTATTAACGGTTGACGTTTCGGCGTCGTCGCCTTCTTCGGAACCTGGAAAGTCGAAAAGCATTCAGGAAACCCTTCGTTCCAAACACTATTTCAACCTACAGGAAAACTCCAAAAGGGATGTAAACTACTAAGACGACGTCATAGGAGCCCTAATAAACTGACCTTTAGGCAGTCGAACCAGAGAGGTCCACCTGTCACCCCAAGCTGGTAATAATGCGGTTTAAATAGGGTAACCCTAGGGACCACTTGCACGTAGAACAAACATTCCGAAGGCCTTCAAGGGGTCGATCACGTAGATCAAACAACTCCGAAGGCCACCATTGAGTACCTGCGCCGCTGACCCGCACTTAACCCCTCCTATCGATTACTGTATAAGCCCCCGACCTCACCGCCAGGACCCGCGGGGATTGACCGCGCAGGTCAAAACCCACTGAGGTCCGCGAAGGGTCTGAATAGGGTAACCCTACTGACCAGAGCAAGAAGGGCCGGTCTCCAAGATGCGATGAGGGTAGTGGATATTCCACCCACAAACCTAAGAAAGCAATTGGTTAGAAATCGAATTTATGACCGTCTCTGCACAACGACTTCCTGTGTCATATGTCCAAATTAGATACACCACCCTCGGTGTCATGCAGTCGCCTTCCTTAAGGACACCGAGGGTGGTGTATCTAATATCGTGTCAGCAGTGCAAGGAGGAATATATTGGGGAAACAGGAAGGCCTCTGTGCATTCGCATCAAAGGAACACCTGGATGGCATGCGAAGTCCAAAGTTGCCTCTCCTCTGGGAGAGCACAGGGTACGGTATCACGGGGACAAATGTTTTGAGGTACTATCATAGTTTTGAGGTACTATCACATATCATCATATCATATCATATATCATCATCATCATATCCGGTTCACGTGATACTATCACGTGAACCGGATATTGCGGCGCGTCGAACGTTGGAGGCCTTTTGGATCACGTCCAAGACCCCTAAGATCAACAGGAGGGAAGAGTGTGTGGCGGTCACTGCAGAGCTCGCACCCTTCGCGGACCTCTGTGGGTTTTGACCTACGCGGTCAATCCCCCGCGGGGTCCTGGCGGTGAGGTCGGGGGCTTATACAGTGCGTAACAAAAGTATGTGGACACCTCAAATTTTTGTCCTGCAAAATTGCCTTTGAATTTTGCGATATGAACCTTTATTGTTGAATTCCTCATAAGCGAAAACATAGGAATACACTACTTCTGAGCACTTTGTGAACTACTGTACAATTATTTATTGTTTTGAAAAAGTTTCTTAATAACAAAAGTATGTGGACACCTAACAAAACAGCGTTCACTATTGCTACTTCGAACATTCTGTCTGGCATGCTGTGGACAAGATTTGTCATGGTGTCTTCGTCGATTTCCTCCCATGCAGCAACTACCGCCTCCTTCAAGTCTCGCACGCTGTTGTACTGCCGACTGTTCATGTAGATTCGTCGAACCATGATCCCCACAGGATTCAGGTTGGGTTGCAGTCACGAGAACAAGGCAAGAGATTAGACTCAAGCACTCCTTGGTATTCCTGACTGTTCATACAGCACGATGGGAAGGCAAGCTCCAACTTTCCTCTGCTTCCAAAACCACCCCGTACCATCAAAGAGGCGCCTCCGAAATTTCGTCTCGAGAACACCAACGGATCGCTACAAAGGTCTTTCCAGTAATGCTGATATCCATCTGGACCGTCGAGATTGACTTTTTTATCAGTGAAGATAACCTAAGAAAGAAATGCGCATAAGATGTTGCCTTTCTGATTTTACAAATATCTCAAGAAACACCTTGTCCCACGACGTCGCCATGTTTGCACGCGCAAAGTTCAGTCTTGCCAGCTGGTGCTTGGCAGTCAGACAGGGAGCTTTCTTCATGGTCTCTCGAGTGATGTGCTCACTTGATCGAATAGAGCGCCATATTGTCATTTTTGAGACCGGTAGATTCATCGCGGCATGGATCTGTGCCACAGAAAGCGGGGAGTTTGAGGCCATTCTTCTGATGTCTTCTTGCGGACAAAGATCGTGGGTGCCTTGAAACAGGTACTGAGTGGTAGCCATCAGGATTCTGGAGGTATATACCAACGCAAGCTGTCTTGCAATTTCTCTATTCGAGTGTCCTGCAGCACTGAAAGCTCGAATCCGAGCTTGTTCGTCTTCGTAGGGAGGACTACCACGACGAGGCATGAGTACAGGTTAATGGGGACTAGAGACCATGAAAATGGATTGCAGATCTGGAGCCAAACTTTGGACTTCCTCAGGTGTCCACATACTTTTGTTATTAAGAAACTTTTTCAAAACAATAAATAATTGTACAGTTCACAAAGTGCTCAGAAGTAGTGTATTCCTATGTTTTCGCTTATGAGGCCAACAATAAAGGTCTTATATCAAAGGCGATTTTGCAGGACAAAAATTTGAGGTGTCCGCATACCTTTGTTACGCACTGTACAGTAATATAGGAGGGGTTAAGTGCGGGTCAGCGGCGCAGGTACTCAATGGTGGCCTTCAGAGTTGTTTGATCTACTTGATCGACCCTTTGGAGGCCCCTTGAGCAAGTGGTCCCTAGGGTTACCCTATTTAAACCGCATTATTACCAGCTTGGGGTGACAGGTGGACCTCTCTGGTTCGACTACCTAAAGGTCAGTTTATTAGGGCTCCTATGACGTCGTCTTAGTTTTACATCCCTTTTGGAGTTTTCCTGTAGGTTGAAATAGTGTTTGAACGAAGGGTTTCCTGAATGCTTTTCGACTTCTCAGGATTCAGAAGGCGACGTCGCCGAAACGTATTCACCTATCTTGGCTACCAGCACAACAACATCCCATACTGTATGCAATCATGCCAAGATTCATCGAAAGTCGAACGTGGACAGAATGTCGTCTGATATAGAATACACAACGTCCAATAGCAGTAATATATCTGAATATAGAAGGTAGAATCTCCAAGCTCTTTTAGGTAGACCGATGCACCATATAATAATGTTGTCCCAGTGGGTTACTTCTAACTTGGGAATTGAAGAGGAAATCAATCAAAAGCTAAGGATTTACTGGCAACAGTGGCTCTGGATGAGCCGTATTGCGCGCACTTTCGATAGAGCTCAACGAAAAATGCTCCATTACTCCGATGGATTCATTGCTGAACTACATTCCACGAATGAATTATGAATTATTTTAAAGCAGTGAGAACTTCTACTGCAAAGTTACAGGAAGAAGTACAACAGGAAGATACCTCAGTTTATCAGAAAAATGCCAGGTGACTTTCCTTTCATGAGATAAAACAGTTGCATTCTTTGCAATGTATCATGGGTTTTTCCTAATATACTGTGATTCCTAATATACTGTGACTGTTCATTCACTATTCGAAAACAGTCGTCCATTTCAGACTGTGTTGATGTTGCGATGAGGAAACCATCGATTTATGTATTTACCAGTGCCTTACCGATTCTCTTTCCGCGTGTGGAGTGGGTCCCGATGAGAAGTTTTCCATGGAATGATCAATATCTCACTCTATATAACTCACTAAGTATGTCTGTCTGTGTGTGTGTATGTTTGTGTGTGCGTCTGTCTGTGTGTCACGAAATTCATAGCGCCGGTCCCAGTAGCAGTGAGACATTGATTTCAAGAAGTGATGTAGGCGGTGTGACGGGAACACTATTGGTGGGTGACAGGAAGTGATATCAGTTGATAAGATCCGATAAGAGGCGTTAGAAGGGGGAGGTCACCATATTCATAACGCGGGTGACAGCAATAGCAGGACGTTAGTTCCGAGGTACGATATAGGGTATGGGACAGGAACGTGATTGGTGGGTGGCAGGGAGTGATATCAGTTGATAAGATCTGATAAGAGGCGTCAGAAGGGGAGGGGCACCGAGTCCATAGCGCGGGTCACAGCATGAGTAGGACGTTAGTTCCAAGGTATGGTGTAGGCTATGGCATACGATTATTATTGGTGGGTGACAAAAAGTGCTAGCAGCTGATAAGATTTGATAAGGGGAGTTAGAATGGGAAGGTCACCATACTTATAACGCGGGACACAGCATCAGCTAGGCGTTGATTTCAGAAAATGATATAGAGTGGGAGATGAGAACATCGACGACGGGTGACAGGAGGTGATAACAGCTGATATGGGCTGATAAGGAACGTTGCCGTTGTTGTT